AGCCAAACTGTGGAAAGAGCCAAGATGTCCATCAACAGATGAATGGATAAAGAAGATGTGGTATATATATACAATGGAATATTATGCAGCCATCAAAAAAATGAAATCTTGCCATTTGCAATGACGTGGATGGAACTGGAGGGTATTAGGCTAAGCGAAATAAGTCAATCAGAGAAAGACAATTATCATATGATCTCACTGATATGAGGAATTTGAGAAACAAGTCAGAGGATCATAGGGAAGGGAGGGAAAAATGAAACAAGACAAAACCAGAGAGGGAGAAAAACCATAAGAGACTCTTAGTCTCAGGAAACAAACCAAGAGTTGCTGGAGTGGAGGGGGGTGGGAGGGACGGGGTGGCTGGATGATGGACATTGGGGAGGGTAGATACTATGGTGAGTGCTGTGAATTGCATAAGACTGATGAGTCACAGAACTGTACCCCTGAAACAAATAATACATTATATGTTAATAAAAAAAAAAACTGGGATGCTTAAAGAAGTTCAATCCAGTGAAAGGGAGATTAAAACACTGTATTCACAGCCACAGGTAAACAACAAGGAGACCTAAATCTTCCTAATTCTGAGAGGCAGTGGGGAAAAAAATCTCCTGTGAAGAATCTCTTGCATCTCTTGTGGGTTTGGAGTCTAAATTTATGCTGCTCTCATGATATGAGAAACCCCAGGTCAAAACATATAAATTGACTGAGGTCAACAATAATCTAGGGTACCTGGCAAAGGCAATAACCAAACTGTGCTGGGGAGGTATTCTTAAACCCAGACTGATGGGATTCCCATAGAAAAAACAAGCTGGTTAAGATAAGCCCCAAATAAAAAGCCACCTAAAACCTGTGAAACTCATCAGCTTCTAAAAGTATTCCCACATGATTTGACACTTAAGAGTGAATATATATAGGAAAGGAGATCAAGTACATATTACATGAAGTTAAAAATGGAAAACACAGATAAATATATGCCCACTTGGAAACAACGACCAAAACTAAATAACTGTTCTTCTAAAATGTAGTAAAACTTTGGGTATTTCCTCTGGTTAAAAAACAGAATGAGACAAGTACTATAAAAGGACAGATGAAGGTAGATCCCCTCCGAAGAAAGACTGCATATCAAAATGAAGCTGCTGCCATCAAAAGGAATGAGATCTTGCCATTTGCAACGACGTGGATGGAACTGGACGGTGTTATGCTGAGTGAAATAAGTCAGTCAGAGAAAGACATGTATCATATGACCTCACTGATATGAGGAATTCTTAATCTCAGGAAACAAACTGAGGCCTGCTGGAGTGGTGGGGGGTGGGAGGGATTGGGTGGCTGGGTGATAGACATTGGGGAGGGTATGTGCTATGGTGAGCACTGTGAATTGTACAAGACTGTTGAATCACAGATCTGTACTTCTGAAACAAATAATGCAATATATGTTAAGAAAAAAAAAGAAGAAGAAGAAGAAGATAGCAGGAGGGGAAGAATGAAGGGGAGTAAGTCGGAGGGGGAGACGAACCATGAGAGACAATGGACTCTGAAAAACAAACTGAGGGTTCTAGAGGGGAGGGGGGTGGGGGGATGGGTTAGCCTGGTGATGGGTATTAAAGAGGGCACATATTGAATGGAGCACTGGGTGTTATACGCAAACAATGAATCATGGAACACTCCATCAAAAACTAATGATGTAATGTATGGTGATTGCTTCAAAGGACACCATCAAGAAAGAAAAAAGACCCTTGAAATGGGAGAAAAGATTTGCAAATCATGTCTCTGATAAAGGTGTAGTATCCAGAATATATGAATGAACTCTTACAACTTGACAAATAACCCAATTTTAAAACAAGCAAAGGATACATGTCTCCAAAGAAGATACACCAACAAACACATGAACAGATGTTCAACATCATTAGCCACCAAGTAAATGCGAAACAAAATCATGGTGAGATCCCTGTTAGACTAGTCTATAATAAAAAAGACAATAACAAGTGTTGACAAGGATATAAAGAAATGTACATTGCTTGTGAGAATGTAAAATGGGGCGGCTGCTTCGGAAAACACTCCAGCAGTTCCTCAAGTTGAACATAAAGTTATCACATGACTTAGCAATTCCATTCCCAGGTATATACCCAAGAGAAATGAAAATATACGTCCACACAAAAACCTGTACTCAAAAAAAGTATACAAATATTCATAGCAGTATTATTGATAATAGCCCAAAAATGGAAACAACCCAAATGTCTATGAACTGATAAATGGCCAAAGAAAATGTGGTATAACCATATAATAGAGTATTATTCCACCACAAAAAGGAATGAATTACTCATTTATGCTATAATACAAATGAATCTTGAAAACAGTACGCTAAAGAACTCAGACACAAAAGTCAAATGTAATAGGATTCCAGTTATATGAAACATTCATAATAGGCAAATCAATATAGACAGAAAGTAGATTAGTGGTTGTCAGTGGCCAGGGAGAGGTGGAAATAACTACTAAAGCCTACAGAGTTCTTTTCAAGGCAATGAAGATGTCCCAGAATTAGAGTGTGCTGGTTGCACAACTTTGTGAATACGCCAAAAGCCACTGAACTGTACAATTAAAAAGGATGGATTTTATGGTATGTGAATTATATCTCAATAAAAATGTACATCTAATAAATAATGCCATCAATAATAAAGGTGTTCTAATTTTAGAGATATTAAAATGTAAAAAAGAAAAGACATTTGTTTCACCAAAGCATTGAGAAATACATTGTGACAGGGGTGTCTGCATCTGTGGAGAGTTCTTTGTAGGTGTTCCCTGTAGGCGTAGGGGTTAGGAAAAGATGCCGGTATTGAAATTTCAATACCTCCCTAATTTTAAGGAGGACGAGAGGAACTTCGGGGACAAAGACCAAGCAACAGTCTTTATACAGCAGGTGCAAAATGATGTGGTTAAGCAACAGAGATGATATGGCAATAAGAATGATATGGGGATCAATACCACGAGGATTTAGAGAAACCGATTAGTTGAAGTTAAGATTTCCATAAATGAAATAGATGGGCAGTCCAGTGGAGGAGACCTGAAAACTCCAGAGGCCTAACCTGAGATGACACAACAGAGAGTAGTGATCCCTCACTCGATTTCCAGACTGGATTTCCTTCATAGATCCAGAACCCCTTGAATGAAGAAAAACTTACCTCCTCTTGAAGAAGGACTTTGTAATAACAGCAAAGGTGTTTACTATGTATCTTCAACTCTGTTTTATTTCTTTTCCCTCCATTAAAACTTTGTCCCATTTCCCCATTTTATATTCCTATATTATTTCTATTTTATAAGCTGCTTAAAATCCTTTTTAAAACTATAGAGACTACAGAGTAAAAACTTGAAATACAGATACTGATTTTTTAATATCATTTCATATCTTTATTTTACAGGCATTTGTCTTTGAACTAGTAGTATTCACTTACCTATGGACTCTTTGAAATGTGGACTTTCTTTAATTCTTTCAAAGAAATCTTTTAAATTCACCTCCTTATTATCTGTAAAGTCAAAATCAAGCATGCTGACATTAAAAACCTGATACTGTGAATTTGTACATAAAATAAATGTTCTAACTTAAAACACCTAAAATTCCATTCTACCTTATTTTCTATCTCAAATGACTGAAACTGTTTCAATATAATTTTTCATACTTTTAGAAACTATCCATTGAACAGTTAATGATCTCAATAGCTAATTTTTTTTGAGTTCTACTATATGTTGTCTAATTGAACATTAAAAAAAGAAAAAAACTTATATAACTTTTCAGTTCCTTATACATACTAAGGATCCTTTTATGATGCTTTACATTTATTAACCAAAATCTTTACAATAATTCTATAACATGGGTATGCTTGATATGCCTATCTTTAAAAGATGAAAGCAAAGAGAAATTAAATAACTTGTCTAGGTCACAAAAGCCAGAAAGTGCTAGAGGATGTGGTATTGAACTGAGGTAGTCTCAGGCCAGAGGTTAACTATTAGGACACACACACACTTGAAGTAAGACACAGTAATGTTACCACAGCAGAAAATACACAGCTATCAACTACATTAAGGAGACTTTAACTTACAACAAAATGGCAAGCTGGGTAGCACAGAAATCATCACACTACAAATCCCTAGAGATGCTGTATGAACTACAATATTCTATAAATGCATGACTAAGTTATAGGAAAAGTAAATAATAATAAGTTAAGTGGGCACAGAGATCAAGAGTAGAAAAGAGTGAGTACTAAGCCTACAGCTATCTGGGGATACATATCAGAACCCAAAGTGGCAAGGTGCTTGATTTAAATGCTCATGCATATTCATAAAAGAAAACTTGGGTCCATGCTACATGGAGTGTTTGAATTTAGATACCAAATAAAACTGGGATGCTTTGCAAATCAATCAGTGTGATACAACACATTAATAAAAGAAAGAACAAGAACCTATGATCCTCTCAATAGATGCAGAAAAAGCATTTGACAAAGTACAGCATCCTTTCTTGATTAAAACTCTTCACAGTGTAACGATAGAGAGTACATACCTCAGTATCATAAAAGCCATCTATGAAAAACCCACAGCAAATATCATACTCAATGGGGAAAAACTGAGAGCTTTACCCCTATGGTCAGGAACACGGCAGGGATGTCCACTGTCACCACTGCTGTTCAACATAGTACTAGAAGCCCTAGCCTCAGTATTCAAACAACAAAAAGAAATAAAAGGCATCCGAATCAGCAAAGAAGAAGTAAAACTCTCACTTTTTGCGGATGATATACTTTATGTGGAAAACCCAACAGACTCCACCCCAAAACTGCTAGAACTCAAGCAGGAATTCAGTAAAGGGGCAGGATATAAAATCAATGCACAGAAATCAGTTGCATTTCTATACACCAACAACAAGACAGAAGAAAGAGAAATTAAGGAGTTGATCCCATTTACAACTGCACCCAAAACCATAAGATAACTAGGAATAAGTCTAACCAAAGAGGCAAAGGATCTGTACTCAGAAAACTATAAAATACTCATGAAAGAAATTGAGGAAGACACAAAGAAATGGAAAATCATTTCATGCTCATGGATTGGAAGAACAAATATTGTGAAGATGTCAATGCTACCTAGAGCAATCTACACATTTAATGCAATCCCTATCAAAATACCAACAACTTTTTTCAAAGAAATGGAACAAATAATCCTAAAATTTGTATGGAACCAGAAAAAGACTCCGAATAGCCAGAGGAATGTTGAAAAAGAAAAGCAAAGCCAGTGGCATCACAATTCCGGACTTCCAGCTCTATTACACAGCTGTCATCATCAAGACAGTATGGTACTGGCACAAAAACAGACACATAGATCAATGGAACAGAATAGAGAGCCCAGAAATGGACCCTCAACTCTATGGTCAACTAATCTTTGACAAAGCAGGAAAGAATGTCCAATGGGAAAAAGACAGTCTCTTCAACAAATGGTGTTGGGAAAATTGGACAGCCACATGCGGAAGAATGAAACTGGACCATTTCCTTACACCACACACAAAAATAGACTCAAAATGGTTGAAAGATCTAAATGTGAGACAGGAGTCCATCAAAATCCTAGAGGAGAACATGGGCAGCAACCTCTTCGACCTCAGCTGCAGCAACTTCTTCCTAGAAACAGTGCCAAAGGCAAGGGAAGCAAGGGCAAAAATGAACTTTTGGGACTTCATCAAGGTAAAAAGCTTTTGCACAGCAAAAGAAACAGTCCACAAAACCAAAAGACAACCGAGAGAATGGGAGAAGATATTTGCAAATGACATATCAGATAAAGGGCTAGTATCCAAAATCTATAAAGAACTTACTAAACTCAACAACCAAAGAACAAATGATCCAATCAAGAAATGGGCAGAAGATATGAACAGACATTTTTCCAAAGAAGACTCATGGCCAAGAGACACATGAAAAAGTGCTCAACATCGCTCGGCATCAGGGGAATCCAAATCAAAACTTCAATGAGATACCACCTCACACTAGTCAGAATGGCTAAAATTAACAAGTCAGGAAACGACAGATGTTGGCAGGGATGGGGAGAAAAGGGAACCCTCTTACACTATTGGTGGGAATGCAAGCTGGTGCAGCCACTCTGGGAAACAGTATGGAGGTTCCTCAGAAAGTTGAAAATAGAGCTACCCTACAACCCAGCAACTGCACTACTGGGCATTTACTCCAAAGATACAAATGTTGTGATCCAAAGGGGTACATGCACCCCGATGTTTATAGCAGCAATGTCCACAATAGCCAAACTGTGGAAAGAGCCAAGATGTCCATCAACAGATGAATGGATAAAGAAGATGTGGTATATATATACAATGGAATATTATGCAGCCATCAAAAAAATGAAATCTTGCCATTTGCAATGACGTGGATGGAACTGGAGGGTATTAGGCTAAGCGAAATAAGTCAATCAGAGAAAGACAATTATCATATGATCTCACTGATATGAGGAATTTGAGAAACAAGTCAGAGGATCATAGGGAAGGGAGGGAAAAATGAAACAAGACAAAACCAGAGAGGGAGAAAAACCATAAGAGACTCTTAGTCTCAGGAAACAAACCAAGAGTTGCTGGAGTGGAGGGGGGTGGGAGGGACGGGGTGGCTGGATGATGGACATTGGGGAGGGTAGATACTATGGTGAGTGCTGTGAATTGCATAAGACTGATGAGTCACAGAACTGTACCCCTGAAACAAATAATACATTATATGTTAATAAAAAAAAAAACTGGGATGCTTAAAGAAGTTCAATCCAGTGAAAGGGAGATTAAAACACTGTATTCACAGCCACAGGTAAACAACAAGGAGACCTAAATCTTCCTAATTCTGAGAGGCAGTGGGGAAAAAAATCTCCTGTGAAGAATCTCTTGCATCTCTTGTGGGTTTGGAGTCTAAATTTATGCTGCTCTCATGATATGAGAAACCCCAGGTCAAAACATATAAATTGACTGAGGTCAACAATAATCTAGGGTACCTGGCAAAGGCAATAACCAAACTGTGCTGGGGAGGTATTCTTAAACCCAGACTGATGGGATTCCCATAGAAAAAACAAGCTGGTTAAGATAAGCCCCAAATAAAAAGCCACCTAAAACCTGTGAAACTCATCAGCTTCTAAAAGTATTCCCACATGATTTGACACTTAAGAGTGAATATATATAGGAAAGGAGATCAAGTACATATTACATGAAGTTAAAAATGGAAAACACAGATAAATATATGCCCACTTGGAAACAACGACCAAAACTAAATAACTGTTCTTCTAAAATGTAGTAAAACTTTGGGTATTTCCTCTGGTTAAAAAACAGAATGAGACAAGTACTATAAAAGGACAGATGAAGGTAGATCCCCTCCGAAGAAAGACTGCATATCAAAATGAAGCTGCTGCCATCAAAAGGAATGAGATCTTGCCATTTGCAACGACGTGGATGGAACTGGACGGTGTTATGCTGAGTGAAATAAGTCAGTCAGAGAAAGACATGTATCATATGACCTCACTGATATGAGGAATTCTTAATCTCAGGAAACAAACTGAGGCCTGCTGGAGTGGTGGGGGGTGGGAGGGATTGGGTGGCTGGGTGATAGACATTGGGGAGGGTATGTGCTATGGTGAGCACTGTGAATTGTACAAGACTGTTGAATCACAGATCTGTACTTCTGAAACAAATAATGCAATATATGTTAAGAAAAAAAAAGAAGAAGAAGAAGAAGATAGCAGGAGGGGAAGAATGAAGGGGAGTAAGTCGGAGGGGGAGACGAACCATGAGAGACAATGGACTCTGAAAAACAAACTGAGGGTTCTAGAGGGGAGGGGGGTGGGGGGATGGGTTAGCCTGGTGATGGGTATTAAAGAGGGCACATTCTGCGTGGAGAACTGGGTGTTATGCACAAACAATGAATCATGGAACACTACATCAAAAACTAATGATGTAATGTGATTAACATAACAATAAAAATTATTTAAAAAAAAAAGCTGCTGGTATCATGTCTTTGTTTTAACACAATGGTATTTTCCCACCCATGCTTCTAAGAAATGAATGGTAATTATCTAAATAAGCATATATATACAGATAAGTATGAACAGATAGATATGGTCAATAAATATTTAAATTAGAAGACTATTTGGCTCTAATTTGTATCAACCTAAGTCTCCAGTGTGACTACCCTTAGCATTTTACCCACATATATATGCTTTAAGACTATTTCTCATAAACAGGGAAAAATGAAAAGAATCTCAAACCAAAAAAATGCTCACCACTGATGTCACAACATTTAAGGGCTTCACTGATGTCCTCCTCAGTCAAATTAACATTCAAACTTTCCAGGGCATGTTCCAAGTTAGGTATACCAATCTTGCCATTATCAACACTTGACAAGATACAAGCAGCTTCTTTAATCTCTACAAAGATAAATAAATATATATAAGATACTACTGTTTTAAAAAGTGCAAAATATTTTGTCCGAAGTCCATTATAGGTGAACTATCAAATTAAGTATATATATTTAACCAAAATCTCTGTAGAAAAAAAGTAAAATATTTTCTATTTAAAACTAACAGCCGGGGCGCCTGGGTGGCTCAGTCGTTAAACATCTGCCTTCGGCTCAGGTCATCCCAGGGTCCTGGGATCGAACCCCACATCGGGCTCCTTCCTCACCAGGAAACCTGCTTCTCCCTCTCCCACGCCCCATGCTGTGTTCCCTCTCTCGCTGTGTCTCTGTCAAATAAATAAATAAAATCTTTTAAAAAAAAGCCAAGATATGGAAGTATCTCAAGTGTCCATCAGTAGGTGAATGAATAAAGCTGTAGTATATTGTGGAATATGACACAGCCATGAAAAAGAATGAGTTTTGTTGTTTGTTGATTCTTTTTTTTTTTTGCTATTTTGCCAACATGGATGGACCTAAAGGGTATTATGCTAAGTGAAATATGTCAGACTGAGAAAAACAAATACCATATGATTGTACTCATATGTTGAATCTCAAAAACAAAACAAATAAAAAAACAAACAAAAAGCAGAATCAGGGGGTGCCTGAGTGGCTCAGTTGGTTAAGCATCTGCCTTAAGCTCAGGTCATGATCCCAGGGTCCTGGGATCGAGCCCCGTGTAGAGTTCCTTGCTCAGCGGGGAACCTGCTTCTCCCTTTCCCTCTGCTGTTCCCCCTGCTTGTGCTCTCTCTCTCTGTCAAATAAATAAATAAAATCTTTAAAAAAAAAAAAGCAGAATCAGACCTATCAATATAGAGAACAAACTGATGATGTCCAGAGAGAAGGGGGGTAGGATGGGCAAAATGGGTGAAGGGGAGTAGGAGAGACAGGCTTCCAGTTATGTAATGAATATGTCATGGCACAGTGTAGGGAATATAGTCAATGATATTGTAATCGCTTTGTATGGTGACCGATGGTAGTTACATTTGTGGTGAGCATGGCATAATGTATAAAGTTGAATCAGTATGTTGTACACCTGAAGCAAATATAACATTGTATGTTCACTATACTCAAATAAAAAATTTTTAATGAAAAATTATATTATTTTGATATTAATGAATTAAGATGATTTAAGTTATTTAATATTTTTATTACTTTATTTTTTTCTAAGTAAGCTCTATACCCAACATGGGACTTGAACTCCTGACTCTGAGATCAAGAGTCACATGCTCTACTGACTGAGCTAGCCAGATGCCCTTATTTTTGTTACTTTATACGGTAAAAATACTGAGCATTTCTACTATCATTTAAAAAATATGAATGGGTACTTATAATATGAAATAAATGCTATGAATGAGACATGGTTTAATGAAAGCTTATAACAAAGGAAGCTGACCTAGACTAGCAGATAATGATAGGCTCCCTAGAGGAACCTGACACGCATCTGAAAGATGAGTAAACATTAACTAGGCAAAGAGGGTCAGGGAAAAATATTCCAGGGAATAAAATATGCAAAAGCTTTGTGGTGGGAGGAAAAGAGAGATCTAAGGAAATGAAAGAAAGCCAATGTATCTGAAAGTATAGAAAATAAGGGTAATGGTACAAAATTGTGCTAGAGGACTAGGACATGTAGGATTTTGATCTTTATCTAACAGCAATGGAAAATGTTTGAAGAGTTATAAATAGGGAGATATAACATGATCAGATTACTTTTTTGAAAAAAATATTACTCTGGCTGGAGTGGGAAAAATTGACTAGGAATCCACTGGCACCTGGCAATGATCCTAAAAAATAACTCTTTTATAGGGAATGCTTTCATATATATATTATATATAAAATATATATATTTTTTATATATATATAAAGTTCTTACCATCTGCTTTTGGTAGTCTCAGATTTGAAGACAAAGCTTCTTTCCTAAAATCTGCAATTTAGAGGGAGAGAGATTATGCCATAAGGAACAGCATCCTGATTTTATCCAGTTTGAAAGAAAGTCAATGGATAGATTACTTCATTTCTCAGTAACATTTCTCATTGACTATTCCCTTTTTCTCAAAATATTCCACTGGCTTCCAGAATATTATTCTCTACTCATCTTCCTCTTACTTCTTAGACTCCATGGATTTGTCAACCTCCACCAAGCTCCTTAAATGTGACTGAGATTCTAATGTCACAAATGTTCCCTTTCTCCCTAAGAGGGCAGGTTAATCCCCAGGCCCATATATTCAGTAAAATACTTAATTATTAGTCTGAATTGTCCTTCTCCAGTTCTGCTTGCCTACCTATATATCTAGTCCTGGAGCTTTTCCTTAGGACAAGTTGCAGTTACATCCTTCATCCTATACACTTTCTACAAAAATGCAAATTGCTATAGAGATCTATTTGAGAGACAAGTGATAGAAATAAAATATGTCCATTTGCATAGATGGACCATATTACAGTCAGAGAGCAGTTTAGAATAACTCAGAACTAGTCCAGGTATTACCTTAAAACAAAAGGAGGTTAGAATAAAAATACATTATATTTATCTTAATTTTTTTTTTACTTGTTCTAAGCAGGATTAAAAACAACAACAACAACAATAACTAACCTATTAAAAAGTACTTTCAAAATAGGTTTGGCAATTTTATAATTCTAAAACAGGATTTCTCAACCTCAGCAAAATTACATTTGGGTCCAGATAATTGTTTGGGGGGGATACTGTCCCATACATTATAGGATGGTTAGCAGCATCCCTTTCTTCTACTCACTAGATGCTAGCAACCCTCCCCCATCAGTTTTGACAATCTAAACTGTCTTCACACATTGCCAGTTGTTCCCTGAGAGGCAGATCTGATCTTATTTTTTACCTGAAGCTAAATTTAAGGCAAGAAATGGCTTTCCAAATAAGGATATATCCCAGCTGAGAATATAGATAGGTCAGGAAAATTCTTTGTAAATAGATCAAAGAGCAGCTATATATGAGTGTTATATAGACAAATATTCTAATTGTTCCAACGATAACTTGCACTTTTCAAAGGGCTTTCACCAAAAAAAAAAAAAAGCTTAGAAAACTATTAAGACCTCTCTAAAATTCATAAAAGGAAAGGGATTAACTTTGAAATGAAATTACTTTAAAAAGAAACATTTCAAAGCCATACAACAACATATATAAATACTTTGACACCAACTTTACAATCCAGTCCAAGAGATTATCCAGGAATTTGATACTGTAATAACTAAATGGATCTATCTGTGGATATAGAATATAAGGTATATCCCTAAATTTGGTCTGTAGTAAATCACATTTCAATACATTTATGCTATTATTTAGGAACTAAATATTATAATATTAACTAAATATTATTAGGAACTAAGTATTAAGATTTAATTAGTATTTGATAAAATATTTAAAAATCCTTGGATAACATTTTAGAAGAAATTTTTATTACAAGTCACTCAATTAACTCACCCTCAACAAAGGAATCATCCAGTATTTCTTGAAGACTATCATCAGTGAAATAAATTCTATTGGCATTTCCAAGTACACCTGCATATTTGTCCTTATCAGATTGATCACTTTCTTCCATAGAGCCCAATGAATTGATGATGTCATTCAATGTTACAAACACAGAGAATATATATACAACATGTACTTCAGTCCATGGATCCAAATCTTTGGAACATAACAATAAAACTGATGGACTCTTCCAGATTTGCACCGTCCAAAATGGCAGCCACTACACACATGTGGCCATTTAAATAAGTAGAGCAATCCATTCTCCACTATCGTTTTCTATAACCCTTTATCTTTATTCTTAAAATTATTTTCTTAAGATTCTGGGTTCTGGGTGAACTATTCCTATATGAACAAAAAAGTATGCCAAGTTTCTCTAGTCATCTATTAATGAGCTCACCATTTCAGTAAAAAATGCCCTCATTCTTCACAACTGCTCTCAAACCCCAATCCTTCCCTTTCCACTTTCTTTCCCTATACCCCTTGCTCCTGTCACCTCACTTCACCCAATTTAGAGAATCAGCAAAGCCTATTATGTTTAGCACAATAACATCAAACATCTAGAAGAGGAAATCCGCAACTGACCTCCCTGAATGGCTCAGTCGGTTGGGCATCTGACTTTTGATTTCAGCTCAGGTCATGATCTCAGGGTCTTGGGACAGAGCCCCACGTTGGGCTCCACACCTAGAATGGAGTCTGCTTGGGATTCTCTCTCCCTCTCCTCCTCCCCTCACTGGTTCCCTCTCTCTCTAATAAATAAATGAATAAATTAATAAAATATTTTAAAAAAAACCCTTCACATTTCTAAAGTATATATCTAAAAAATCATCTCTCAGGATTTGTTAAATGTATAATAAATTACTTTAAAATTAGCTAGTTTATGTAGAAGTATAATTTAACTCATTATGTTGCTCCATTTTTTAGTCATTAGTCATTGGCAAGAAGTTTCAAAAACAGGCCATGTGGAAGGGCTGAAGGGAAGTGTGAGTCTAGAGAAAAGATGATTCAATGTGAAAGAAAAAAAATATGAGTTCTTCTCACATCTCTGGAGGGCTACTGATAGGAGGAAGAGTCCAAATGTTAAATATGGTTTGGGAATGGAATTATAAGGCAGGATTTCCACCAAATATGTAGAATAATTGACCAGTTCTGCAGCTGTCCAAAATTATGGAATGGGCTGCTTCAAAAAGTCATAAGGGTTTCCAAGACAAATAGTAGGATGAGTGTGTATTACCATTAGCCTGTCCCTGAAAGCCACTAATGTGGTTTTTAAATAAACATATAATAATTGAAGAAACTCCATATCTAATGAGCAGGAAACTATCAAATCCTCTACTATAGACCTCATTCTCTGACCACAATAAAATATAACTAAAAATAAACAACAAAGATAGAGCAATAATGAAATTCAAATTGCTTTAAAATTTTTTTTAAATTGCTTTAAATTTTAAAGTTTTCTCTTAAACAACTCTTACATCAAGGAGAAAATCAAAATATGACTGAAAATACTTGGAAAACAACAACAATGATATACAAAGACCATTAGATAAACCAAAATTTTACTAAAATGAAAATGATGGTCTTAAACATTTAATGTCCAGTAAGAAAAAAAGTAAATAATTTAAACAACTTAGAAAAACTATAAAATGGGCATAAGAGAACAATAGAAAGGATTTCATAAAGACAAAAGCAGAAATTAATTTTTTAACTATAAAATGTTTTGTTAGTAGACATAGAAAAAGGTAAGGTGTACACATGTGCAAATTCAAGAATGAGAAAATAACCAGATACAAAAAAATCAAAAGAATTATCAGGGCTGTATTAATATTCTGATAAATCACTTGAATAAAATAAATTTCCTAAGAGAATAAAAACTACCAACACTGATAAAATAAGACAGAAAATGGCAAAAATCAATCCACCAAAATCAAAGATGAATTATAAACTAGAAAAAAGCTGCGATAGGACAGAACATTGATGTGCCTAATATGTAAAGAGCTCTTTACAAATTCATATGAAAAAGACAATCTAATTGAAATATAATCAAAGCACACTTGACAACCATGAAAAATATGTTTTACCTCACTAGTCATTAAAGAAGTATGTATTAAAACAATAATAGAATTTTTTTACCAGAATTTTCAATAACTAATATCCATTATTGATAAAAGTGAATTTTTATAACCCTTTGGGAGGATAATTAAGCAGTAGCTGTTAACATCTTATATCTGCATATATTTTGGTCTAGCACTGTGACTTCTGGGGAATTTATCCTCCAGGAAAACTTTGTGCACATATATACATATAAGGATGCTCATCAAAATGTTTGAATGGCTAAAAATTGGCAATAACCTAAATATCATCAAAAGTGTTGTGGATAAAATTATAGTACATCCCTACCATGGAATATTATGCAGTCTTTAAAAAGAATGAGGTAGTTTATATGATATAATGGAACATGGAACAATATCTAAGATACACTGTTAATTTCTTTTAAAAAGCAAGTTGTGGAATATTATGGACAGAGTAATTCAATTTTTAAATAATAATTTAAGAATACACAAATATTCATAGATGCCAATAAAAAAGCCTAAAAGGATACTTAACAAACATTAACAGGGATATTTCCAGAGGGTGACATTACAAGAGCCTTATCTTTATATTTCTTACATTTCTGGTCACTATATTTTTTTTATAACAGTTTAAAAACTGCTATTATTATATAATAAAGTTTTCTTATTTAGCTACTGGAAAACATTACAACCTCATGATTTTCCCAATCGTTTCCACTGAAGTAAAAATTCCTTTAAGATTTTATTTATTTATTTATTTATTGAGAAAGAGAGAGTGCGCGCGTGTGTGTGCTCAATCCCACGTGGGGCTCAATCCAATGACCCTGAGATCATGACCTGAGCTGAAATCAAGAGTTGCATGCTTAGCAGACTGAGTGCCCCTCAAGTAAAAATACTTAAATGAAAAGAACTGTAGTAAAGTTTGCCACAAGTGGAAATGTTCAAATACAAATGAAAAAACATTTGGCACAAATACTACTACAAAGAAGATTTAAGTACCAAATATAGTATTTGACTAGGTGACCTCTGAACGAGTCCTGTGCTGTGGCCATTCAACAGTTTTACCATAAAGCTCTTACCAAGAAAATTGGAAAATTTCTGGTTGTCCTTCAAAGCCTTCATACAGTCTTTAACATTCACGATGTTGTCATAGAGAGGAGATACACAAGAATCCCTGAATAAGGTAAGATTAAAAAGCTAGTATGAAAATCAAAATCATCATACAATTTCTTAAACACTTTATATACAAGATACTTTGGATTCATTTTCAACCATTATGCTTCACAATTAACCTTACAAGATTGTAGATATACTATTTCTGATTCTACCTTTAAGGGAACTAAAATACCAAGAAAGTTATAAGTTCAATAACTTCACTTGGCGCAAAGTGGCAAATCTAGGTTTCCTATTCACAGAACTGGAATTTCCAAACTATTCATTAGTCACTAAATCAAGACATATCTGAAGAAGTGGATACCAACAAGCCCAACCCCCACAAAATTTCGACCTGCTTGTTAAAAAGTATTCTCATAACTGCAAAAGAGGAATGTAAAAGAAGAAAGACCCCTTTTTAAGATGTTTACAGTAATACAAGCAAATACCTATATTTATTTGCTCAACAAAGGAACCCCATTTACTTAAACAAAGACCTGGTACACTCTCTTTATAGGGTCTCCTACACAAAACAAAACAAAGAAAACCTGATAGTAATATTTAAATGCTTACCAGAAACAAAATCTGATTTAAGAATTTTCTCTACCTCTTCTTCGGGTGACTTAATCCCAATATTTCTTAGAAAGCTTTCCAAGTTCTTCCCAGGTATCATGTCACCTTCAAGCATATCAAGAGCTAAGACAATGTCCTATAACTCTAGAAATAGAAGAAAGTTATTTGGTAATTGAACTAACCTCTGATTTATTTTTTATTTTATTTTTTTGTTGTTGTTAAAGGAATGAACTATTTCTTTTTTCAAAGATTTTTATTTATTTATTTGAGAGAGAGAAAGCACGAGCAGGGGGAGTGTGAGAGGGAGAAGCAGACTCCCTGCCAAGCAGGGAGCCCAGTGCGGGGCTCCATCCCAGGACCTCGAGATCACGACCCAAGCCGAAGGCAGACGCTTAACTGACTGAGCAACCCAGGTGCCGCCTAACCTCTGATTTAAAAAACAGCAGTAGCCATCACTAAAGACTTTTGTCAGAGGCAGTCCAAGATTTATTATCACATCGAATTGAAGAATAAGAAATCTCAGTGAAGAACCCAGGCCTCAGGGAATTCTAAGTCCAGCAACACAATATGCTTGGTCTGTCATGTTTCTTTGGTGCTAATATAAAATTGGCACAACCGAAATGATTCATGTAGCTGAATTTTTCACTGCAATTACACAAAGTCGTTATTTTACCATGAAGCTCTAATGGTAGTAAACAAAATTAACTCATCCTGATTGAAGTGAAATGAATTTCAGAATCATGAGAAATGTAAAATATGAAACACAAGTATTACAAAGACTCATTAGCCTTTTTTTTTCAATTCTACTCCAATCCAGTAGTACCCTGGCATCTGGAATTTTCCTTCATTTTCAGCCCTTTCAAAGGAGGCAGTGTTAAGTCAGATAGACTTGCATTCATATCCTGGCTCCAAGATTTGTCACCTGGAACTGTGTGACCTTGAGCAAATTATTACTACTTAACCCCCTATAAAATTCAGTAGTCTTATATCTAAAATGAGATAATAATACTATTTACCTCACAAGGTTGATGTGGAGATTAAATATGATGAGGTATGAAAAACACTTAAAACAATACTAGATTTATGGCAAGCACTTAATAAATGTCATATTAATAGCAATAAAGTCACTACTACTACTATGATTATTACTAAAGCCATCAGGAACTAGCTATAAATAGTAATCACAGCTCCTTAGTACCTTTGATCCTGCCTCATTTTCTGTCCTCCTAACATCACGGGGAGGCAACTGAAAATGGCAATCTGAGCTTTGCCGGCACCTAAAAACCTGTATGACTTCTGCTTCTTTGTTTTAACTAAAACTCGGTTTCCTTTCAAATACGGTTTCCTTGCACAGCCATCTTGAGTGGAGGCTGCTCATCCTCCCATGCTCCACATAGGACCAGGAAGCAGAGAAACACCCCTAAATTTCTGCTGCTGCTGTCAGGCTACTTTAGTTCCACCTTCAATCAAACATCAGCCCTCCCCTCTGAGGCTCAGGCCTGTCATTCACCTAAGCCACCCTCCTGACACCATCCTTTATTACTTTCTGAGCACACCTTCACCATCTCTGAGGATTTTGGCACCTTGCTCATAATCCTCCCTCAACCTCATTTCCCGTTATCATCTGATGACAATAAGGATGACCTTGACCTCTTAACTCCAAAAAGCCTTCACATCCTTTCCAAAGTCATCCAAACCAATGGCTATCCTTAATCCTCATCATTACCTAGAACTGCCTGCCCCACCTCTAAAATATTAAACTACAAGATCAGACACCTGACCATAATCCCTTATAATTATGTGTGCATGTTGAAGGAAAGCATAGAACTTTATTCACAATATGCCTGTTTTCTAGGCCCCTCCAAGTTCGCCAACAAATAGTCAAGGCACAATGAACTAGCCTTATCCTTTAGTAATGAAGGGAACATTCTGAAAGCCAAGTTCTCATGTGCCAGTCAACCTTGCAAGCAGGCTTTTCTAAAGAGAGCAGCTTCAGGCCTGCTACGTTAACACTTGTCTTCTAGAGTGGCGCTTCCTAACTCTTCCCTGTAGTTATTGGCCTTACACTGCACTAGCTGAAAAATTCCAGTGCCATCTCCCTAATGTGACCATCTCCCAGATTCAGGTACATAAACTATATCTGTTCTCCTTTTCCAATGGCTTAATTTCAAAAATTTTTCCTCCCTCCTCATAAAAAGTTACCTGTTCTGAATACCAGTCTCCTTTGAGCTCTGCTCTCTCATTTCAAAATTAACTACATTTACCAAGTACATAATATGTGCCTAATAATTAGGTTATATGCTTTACATGTGTTTTTGCATTTGATCCTGAAAACTCTATGAGACACACGATTTTATTAGTTTCCTTGTTTTAAAGATGAGGAAACCAGAATGGCCTAGAGAGATTACCCAGCTGATAAGTCAAAAAACCACAAACCATCATATATCATACTCCATAGCCCATGTTCTTTTCTACCTCTATGCATTGTTTCCTAGAGCACAAGTAACTATACTATGTTGATTCTAATTATGTTATGTGACCCAGGTAACATATTTATATGTCAGCAGGGAATTATTAAACAGTTTTCTTAATCTAAAAGAGAAACAATAATGTCAGAAATTTCCTACGCAGGGCAGAGTGGTTACTGAAAATCTGAGAAGTACTTGTCTATTTCTTTATACCCAGAAATGACCCCATCTGTTTCCCTAAATATATACCTATGTTGTATTCTTTTCTTGATAGTGCTTATTGACCAAATACTCATTTGAGTGGTTATTCAAATAAATTACCAGTGATATTAAGTTTAAAACTTATTTTCCAAACAAAAAGTACACAAACTCAAGTATAATCTTCATTGGTTTTAGTTCTGTTTTTTAACTTTTAAGCAAAAATGGAAGTCAAGTAGTAGAAAATACCCATGCTATCAAAATGTTAAAATACAAGAGTGCTATGGTCACTCTTGTATTTTAACAAAAACCAAAGAAATAACATGAGGAATGTCTACTAAAGGAAGCAGTAGAAGATTTCTGAGAAATTCTATAGAATAATATAGAAGCCTATACACTGGGTAGAGTCCTAAGTCTGAGGCATAAAATTATATAGAAAATATTCATATCTGAAAAAATTTAAAGCCAGTAGCTGACTTTATATAAAGCCCAAAAACAAAAAGGGGATTTAAAATAGCTTTACACAGACCCCATTCCAGAAAAAGCCTTTTTTCTTTCATCATGGAAGCTGCCAACTTTTAATGAAAACCAAGTTTTGCCTGCTTTAAAACAGATCAATACCAACATGTTAACCAGAAATTAGCAGAACTAGAAACACTAAAAAACAAAACAAAAAGACATCCATTCAATAAAAGTAAATTTAACAGTCACAATAATCTAGTACTTACCTTTTAACCTGGAGGCATAATGCATATCCTTTACCACTTTTCCAACTTCTTCTATTTGTACTTCATCATCTTCTGCAAGAAAAACATTTTTTTATTATTATGTTCAAACATTTTTAATAGATCAGCCTCACTAAGCAAAAGTCAGGATCCAATGCAGCAATCTCTAAAAAGGTAAATTATTTGATGTATTCATAAAAATCATATTTCCTTTTCATATTGTTGGCTCTCCAAAAGATTAATTTTATGGAATGAATAAACCTTAAGATTATAAGAAAAGGGCTGAGTTTTCAATTTCCATCAATCAAGAGAAATTATGTAATCCATATTCCTAGGGAGAACACTAAGAGACAAACCTCAGTTTTAGTTTAACCTTTCAAATGTTTGAAGATAAAAATACTGTACTAGATTAACTTTAAAGATTTTTCCAATGCCAGATGGTTCTGTAATTTCTAACACATGTTTACACCCATTTCATACACAAGAACACACAGATACTAGAAAGCCAAAGTGACAAACACAGGGGACAGAGACAGCTTTGTTTTCCCAGTCAGGAACAGGGAAACTTAGTGCAAGGATTTAGAATTACTATAGTTTATGATCATAGGATAGAATACAGGTGCTATAAAATAAGATATTGGGGAAGCATTTCTAAATTTGCCAAATGATAAATACCCTTTCTATTTTTCAATGCCTTTTTGTAACCATCATAAAAATATTTTTTAGGGACGCCTGGATAGCTTAGTTGGCTAACTGTCTGCCTTCAGCCCAGGCCACAATCCCAGGGTCCTGGGATCAAGCCCCTCACTGGGCTCTGTGCTCAGCGGGGAGCCTGCTTCTCCCTCTGCCTGCCACTCCCCCTGCTTTTGTCTCTCTCTTTCTCTGACAAACAAATAAATAATATCTTTTTAAAATTATTGTTTAAAAACTTTAAATATACTTTAAAATATTAATGAGTCAATACAGAATACCATCAATAACCAAGAAGTAATTCTTCAATCTCACTAGGTACAGGAAACCTAAATCAGTTTTTTTTTTCCTTTTTAACATAATATGATCAAAAAAGTATATCCTATATTTCCTTTTTAACATAACATGGTCAAAAAAGTATATCCTATCCATATCCAAAAAAGTATATACCCAGTAATTTTTAAGTTCTTGTTCATATTTCTAAGTCTCTGTTGAGCTACTTAAGCAGTTCACTTGATCATTTCCCCCACTTTAATCAGAGAAACTCAACTCTTATGATTTATATATTGACGTACCCTGTAAGATTTCATTTAGAGAATTCTCCTGCTTGAACAGCACCAAATATAAATACAAAACCAAAAATAACAAGGTTCAAACTTTGCAAACTACTACATTAAAATAAGAATTAAATCTTTGTACTGAAGTTCCAATGTTACAAGAAAAAATGGTATGACAGATGGGGTGCACAAAGTTTTCAATATCATGCATGTATTTGGATTTTACACACTGTGTTTTTGCTTTATAAGTATATAATAATGAATCAGATACAGTATATGGGGTTTTTATTATTACAATAAGTAATTTTATAGATTGCTGAGTTATTTTTATAGCTCATAAAATGATACCTTACTGGTCTGATTAAAATAAATGCTACATAATACTTTCTCTGGTATGTGTTGCCTTCAAATTCCACTCACTCTATCAAGAGAAACTGAAGCTTTGCAATAAAAGAAAAGAGAGGGGGAAAAAATCCCTACTATCAGGTGGTAAGTATCCTTCTATTTTGATCAACCCTCCTCATCTCAAATACCTCACTAAACAAAACAATCAACACACTTAAAGTCCAAAATTACCAGTGTCACTTGAACAGGAGCTTAACAGAGAAAAAGGGGTAAGTAATCCTTACAGGGAAAGACAGTTCTTTGACAAAGACCCCAGACGCATGCTTGTGTTACTAGGCTAGTTTGGCATAAACATTCCACATACAAGAGTATGATAATACATTTGTAACTTCATGAGGGAGTAGAAACGTTCACCTGTGGTTGCGTGCTACCTCTCTCCTGCCTACAGAACATCAGCAGTAAATGATAGTCTTATTTTTAAAATTTTAGTCTATAGTCTTTGTTTTACAGTACTTTTGTGAACTTATTTTTTGTTTTGAATCTTTTTTTTACTTGCTAACTAAGTAGAAGTGGTAGCCACCATCAGGTGTGTTTTTCTAGCAAATTAAATGAAAGCCTATTTCAACAAAACAGTATGGATATCCCAAATAGTGTTAAAAAAAAAACTGAAATAGATCTCTTAATATTTCCTAACAATCCTTTCTGTGTTCACTGGGATGTGCCATTTTCCAGTAACATGTTACACAACCTGAAGATAGTCAATGCATATTTGATCAATTTAGAGTAATAGTAAATTAGATATTAACATTTTTTTCTGTAGGACAAACAATCTGAGCTTTCTTTATATTTCCTAGATGTGTATATTGGCATATCAACCAAATACAAGATACAAGGAAAAATAAAGATTGATAGAAGATAGACCCATATGCTTGTAAATCTTTTAATTTTAATATTTAGCGTACTTACCATCAATTATTGCTAATTTCAGTGCACCTAGGAATTCTTTTTTTTTCAAGTTATTATTCTTCCTGGACAGAGTGTTCCATAGGTGAGAAGCATTCATCTTTTCTTTGCTGAGATTGTGGAGATTTTCAATAGTCTCAGGCAATGCTGAAGGGTAGATAACACACAAGTTTTACAACATTCTTGTCCAAGAAGTTAGTACAGTAAACTATTATCTGGACTCGTCAGGAATTAAGGTTTTTACAGTTAAGAAGAATAACAAATACAGCATAAATGATTGCCAATTCTCTTTCTCTTTTTTTTAAAGATTTTATTTTTATGTAATCTCTATACCCAATGTGGGCCTCGATCTCACAACCCCAAAATCAAGAGTCCCACACTCTACCAACTGAGGCAACCAGGCGCCCCTGCCAATTTTCAAATATTAAAATACAATAAAATATTTAACACCAAAATTACTGTGTCTTTGAGGATTCTGAAACATTTCTAGAACTTATGGTGACCCCACCCCTGAATAACCGCTATAGAGTAATTTGCATTGAACTATATAGATTTATAGAAGTCTGAATTCATAAACAAGCCCAACTGATAAAAACATGAATTAAATAGCTTTTGCTCTACCCCCAAAATTCTTCCTTGGATCTTACTTTCTCTTCAATCTACCACTGCAGACCATGGGAAGAAATTTTGTTTTTTAAAAAATTCCAATAGAATTTAATGGAAGGTTTAATGTGTGTGGGGGGTGTGTGAAATTATCTCATCACAAATGTGTAAAAGATCACTCTGCTGCTGTATAGAGAATGGACTCTCTGGAAGATCAGGCAGTTAGAAAGAAGATTTTATTTATTTATTTGACAGAGAGAAATATAGCGAGAGAGGGAACACAAGCAAGGGGAGTGGGAGAGGGAGAAGCAGGCTTCCCACAAAGCAGGGAGCCCGATGTGGGGCTCGATCCCAGGACCCTGGGATCATGACCTGAGTGGAAGGCAGACACTTAACAACTGAGCCACCCAGGCACCCACAAGAAGAGAAAATTTTGAATAAACATATTAAATTAAAACATAAGAATGGTTGAATCATTATGCTGTACACCTGAAACTAACATAACACTGTATGTAAATGATACTTGAAGCAAAAAAACTGCTGGAGGTAAACAAGATGAAAACAAAAACTTGATGATTAGATTTAACAAAATGAGATTTAACTTTTGTAAAAAAAAAAAAAGCTAGTATGGGTGGCAAGGTCAAAACCTGAATGAGTGTTTTTAGAGAACTGGCAAAATAGTATTCTGATGATAGCCACATTCTCCTTCAATTTCCAACACAAAACATATTCTATACTAAGTTAAAATATCACTAAAAATAATATTTGGTAATGAACTGAATGAGGGAAGCAGTTGGTGGGGCTAAGGCCACAAGGGAAAAAAGATCAAGAATGACTCCTAACTTTGGGGGCTAAACAACTGAATGCTAAGCTCAATAGAAAGGAAAATCATCAGATACCAGAAATGAGGAAGAAATATGATTTATGTGTGTGCCTAAGTTGATGCCATAGCAGTCAGATGGTATAATGTAGAAGTTAAGAGCCTAAGCTCCACCTGAGTTCTAATCTTAACTCTACCACAGACTAGCTATATAACTTTTTTAACCTCTATGTCGTGGTTTTCTCATCCATAAAATAAACATAATATTAGAGTTGATATGAGAATTAAATGAGTTAATAAAAAGTATTTAGAACAGTATTGGCACATAGAAAGCACTCAATAAATGTGAGTACTAGTAGTAATTATTGTTATTATGTGGTACAGACAAGTCTAGAATTATAATTGAGATGCCTACTTAAAACCAGGACGCTGAAAAGTCTTCCCATCTAAAAATTATGACTAAAAACACTTTGGTCACCTTTTTAGGAATTCAAGAAGAAAGCTGTTCTCTGCGTAAGGTATGAATGGGGGGAATAAATCTCCAACGATAACCTAAATCCCAAGACTATCATGTGTGAGTGTTGGGTTCCAAATCAAATTATTTAGTTAATATATAAATTCTAAACAAAGAATTAACATAAAACTGTCATAGCTAATTATCCTTATGGAAAAAAATTAAATTGGATCTCAATTTCACTCCATACTTAAAAATCAATTTCAGGTGAATTAAAGACTTAAATATGAAAAAGAAAAAGTTAATTTTTAGAAGAAAATATTTGGAAATATCTTAATGTCCCTCAAAATAGAGACAGGCTTCTATTTTCCCTATAAAGGCAAAGTTATCTGCTAAATGTGAGAAGGGTAGAGGTTGGGGGTAGGAATGGAAGTTTGAGAGAATGGAGATTTTAAATAGTTATTTCAGAGAGTGAAAAAATAAGCTAACTCGGGAGGAACAATCCCATAATTCCTAGGCAGTGTCAAGGGCCATCAGACATTGATGATCAAGACTTTATATTGGCATTCTATTCAATCTGCTCAGCTGTATAATTTTCTCTAGAAATGCTGTCAGCCACAAGGAGAAAGCAGGGTTGGGAGTTTTGTTAGCTAGGTGCAACAAAGGGGCAAGAAAGCTTAGGGTATTTGAGACACACAGACCAGAGATTTTAAACTGACTAAGAAGGAAAAGTGAAAACAGAAGAGACTGGTGGGTAAGGAGAAAGTAGAGGGGTAGATGGATGGAAGGTCCCAATGAGGTACATAAAACCAATAAGCAGTCTGATGAAGATATGAGCAAATGAAGAAAAAAGGAAAAGCATTAAACATAAATGTGCAATATTAAAAATAAGAAAGGAAATATAACTACAGATACAAATAAGATACTATACTATACAACTCTGTGCTAATAAAATTTTTTATCTCCATGAAACTGAAATTCCTCGGAAAAATGAAGTAACTAACAACGCAAATAATCTCTTCATCCAATTAATCTATTGTTTCCTTGTATAGAAAACAAATTAAATGGATTTATAAGGTAAAATAACTTACTTAAAATGTGCTATTACTCAATACTAAGAACAAAATAACAAAATGCTACTTTTAACCCCAATTTTTTTTAAGTAGCTCCACACCCAGCATGGAGCCCAGTGTGGAACTTGAACTCATGACACTGAGATCAAGACCTAAGCTGAGATCAAGAGTCAGATGCTTAATCGACTGAGCCATCTAGGTACCCCTAACCCCAATTTTTAAAGTACTAACTTCACTCCATTTAAAATATACATATATGACCTTATAGTTTTTTTTTTTTAAGAGTTTATTTATTTATTTGACAGAGAGAGACAGCGAGAGAGGTAACACAAGTAGGGGGAGTGAGAGAGGGAGAAGCAGGCTTCCCGAAGAGCAGGGAGCCCGATGCGGGGCTCAATCCCAGGACTCTGGGATCATGACCTGCGCCGAAGGCGGACTCTTAACGACTGAGCCACCCAGGCGCCCCAACCTTATATTTCTTTAGAGTGAGCTTCTGAGTGACAAAGCCTGTCTTTCTCAGTTTACCGCACTCACAGCTTAACATAAAGCCTGGTACATAACAATGGCTCAATAAATGTTACTAAATAAACTGGAAAATGGAAAAAAAAATACAGCTTAAAGTAGAAAATCTGCTTACTAGTACTCAACTATAGTCACTAGATGGCATCACTTCCCCAAGTTGGGAAGACATTTCGGCTCTTCCCAAAATGAATTTTATATACGTGGTTCTAACTCTCTATAGTAAGTGTGAGATTATGATAGCTTTCAACTCATTTGCACGTGGAGGTTGTTCTGGATTTAGGGATCATTACTGGAGAAGATTAAGGCCAAACATATCAGCAGTAAGCCAGGCATTTATTTGCCTGATAAACTGTAGGATGTCTTTTGGTATATTATATTCTTCTAAAATCTGTCACACCATTTGGTCCACTAAAAGCATAAAATATGATGTTCTTACATACATAATTTTTCAGAGAAGCATTCCGTATTGTTCATCATTATATCAATGAATTCTTTAAAATTCGCCTTTTTTGTTTCTAAAGGGAAAAGAACATTTTTTTCATTATCTTCAAGGACTAAGTAATTAAGACAAATATTGAATTATGTAAAATAAATTCTCTATTTAGAGAGTTAATATAATTATAGCCATCAGCTAATATCACTAAAAATATATGGGTATAAGAGAAAAAGCAATTCAACTTACAGGGAGAAAGTAAATGCTGAAAATTTCCAGGAAAATTAATCAAATCCTTCTAGTTACAAGTGTACAACATTTTTAATTTTAACTTACATTACCTTGACTTGGCCTTGCAACAATTCACTAAGATATGTAGGTGAAGAATTAGTATGTTATTTTACATATTTAGAAAAAAATACTTATACATGATAGATGTCATGACTTTTTTCCAAGGTCACAAAAGGAAATACAAGATCAGAGATTAGAAGTAAGCTCTCTCGACTTCTGGTTTCTTCCACATCAGGCTACCATTCACATCGCTGTCTTTATTCCAGTACACTATTTAAACTATTAAACACTTTAATAGTCATTTTATACTTAGAAAATGTCTCTCCTTGATTATATATAATATCCCAATATTAGAATGAATAAAAAAACTCTAAGAATTTTTGAAGGCCACATTAAAGGTTTTATATTAATATGATGAGCTTTTGATAACTCTACTCCTTTGCTTATCCCACTTTTTAAAAAAATTCTAATTCTAATCTATGAAAGATAAGGCACAACCTATTGTCCTATTCCCAAGATTAAATATCTTCGAAAACTTTACTTTAAGGAGCACCAAATCACTTTGTATTCTTACCCAAATATTTAGTGACTTAAAAAAAAATGAGACTTTATGCTATGGTGAGTGCTGTGAATTGTGCAAGACTGTTGAATCACAGATCTGTACCTCTGAAAGAAATAATGCAATATATGTTAAAAAAAGAAGAAGAAGAAGAAGAAGATAGCAGGAGGGGAAGAATGAAGGGGGGGAAATCAGAGGGGGAGACGAACCATGAGAGATGATGGACTCTGAAAAACAAACTGAGGGTTCTAGAGGGGAGGGGGGTGGGCAGATGGGTTAGCCTGGTGATGGGTATTAAAGAGGACACGTTCTGCGTGGAGCACTGGGTATTCACAAACAATGAATCATGGAACACTATATTAAAAACTAATGATGTATGGTGATTAACAATAAAAAATTTTTTAAAAATGAGACTTTAAACAATTCTGGGGAAATGATAGAGTTAATGAAGATTTATATTCACTAAGAGGAACATATAAATTTCTAAAGCAATAGATTCCCTTATTTCTGATAATGTCTATTTGATACACATGTTTCAGCTGAACCACTGAACCCACCATCCATTTGAAGAACATTATTAATACCACTACATCTGCTTCTGTGCTTTTCCCATTCCATTCTACTGTTTCTCTACAGAGAGAGCATTGCTGAATTTTTCAAATTTACCCATCTCTTGTTTTTTTTACATATAATTTTAAACAGGATAAACAAACTATTCCTTAATTTTGTTTTAGAGTTCGATAAAAATTATCAGATTGCTATAGCAATCTGAGACTTGCTTTTCTCATTCAATATATTTCTAAGAATCATCCATATAGTATATTGTTTTCACTAATGTATACACAATTAGTATTCCATTATGCACCAATGGCAAATACCACAACTTATTTACACATTCTATCACTGATCATGTTGTTTCTTTTCTATTTTTTTTTGTTTGCTATTAAGATTAGTGCTGTCATGAACATTCTTAAACATGTCTCCTTGTACATCAGTGCAAGAGATTTTCTGAGATCTATAGCTAAATGTGGATTTTCTAAGTCATGAAGTATGAAAACCATTCAAAATACTACATAATGTTTTTCAAAGTTCTTTTACCACTTTTGCCTTATTTACCAACAGTTAAATTAACAGACTTCTTAATTTTTGCCAGTGTAGTGTGTATAAAAAGATATTTCATTGTGACCTAAATTTTGCATTTCCCTAATTACTAATGATGTTGAGAGTCTTTTCATATGATTATTAGCAACTTGTGTTCCTTCATCTGGCAATGGCTGTTCTTGTAATTTAGTCATTTTTCTATTGGTTTGTTAATTTATAGGGGTTCCCTCTATATTCTCCACAATGATCTTTCACTGTTACGAGTATTGCAAATAATCTTCACTCCATTTGTGGCCTGTATTTTCATTCTGTTTGTATTATCTTTTAATAAAGAAAAGTCTTTAATTTAATGTAGTCAAATTTATCAATCTTTTTTTTCTGGTTAGTGATTTTGTCTCTTAAAAATAATCCTTCCTAACTGTAAGTCAGAAAAATTTTCTTCTCTTTTTCTAAAACTTTTACTGTTCACGTCTGGAAATTATTACTGAATATGATACATAGATAGGGATCTGATATCATTTTTTGCATTTGAATAATTAATTATTCCAGCACCATTTATTAAATGGTGTTTTTTCCCCCCTGCAATCATTATATATGACTATGTGATCATTATATATCCCAGCCACCTTATGTTTCCATATATGTGTGTGGATATGTTTGGAAGTTTCTTATCCTGTTTCTATCAGTCAATTTCTCTATCCCTGTGCCATTTTCACACTGTTTTCCTTACTATAATTTTATAAGGAGTTTTGACATCCAGGAGAGCAAGTTCCCTCCAACACCACTCACACACCCCTAGACACATGTTTTTTTTTTCCTCAAGAGTGTTTTAGCTATTCTTGGCCTTTATAATAATAATACGAGAATTAAATCATCAAAAAAAAGTCAAGGTTTTAACAGAACGGCTTTGGATAAATAAATTAATTAGAAGAATTGACTGTCTTGGGTCTCTGAATCCATGAATATGGGATATATTCCCATTTATTTAGATATTCTAAAATGTCTTAACCAACTGAGCCACCCAGGCACCCGATATTCTAAAATGTCTTAACAAAGTCTTATCATTTTCTTTACATAGGTCTTACATATCTTATATTTGTTCCTACTTTTTTTACTTTTTTTTTACTTTTTATTATGAAAATTTTAAAATATACACAAAATAAAAAGTATATTGTAATAAAAGCTCATTTACTCTCCCTCTAGCTGCAAGTATTATCAATTCATGGCCATTCGCATTTCACCTATAACCCCACACATTTGTCTACCTCATTACCACCCATCCCCTTTAGAAAAGTTGTTGCTAAGTTATAAGGGTGAAACTAGTCAAAGTTAGTTATTTATAACTATAACAAAGTTAGCTAGTTATAAGGGTCAATACTAGTACCTTCATTATGAATTGTGGGCTTTGACATAATACAGAGTCCTTTGTCCCATTTAATGCCTTTTGTCCTGATCTCTACCTTGTCAGAAAGGAAAATCAGAAATCCTTTTTGTGTGCATGTTTGCCTATAGGAAAAAAAAGTCTGAAAAGATGATTATTACTGGTTATTTCTGGGTAATGGGATTTTGTGTGTTTTGTTGTACTTTTGAGTATTTTTCTGGATTGATTTAATTTTAAATGATCTTTATTCTAATAAAAATAATAAAGTCATTATTCTGAAGAGAAAAAATAGCAAATGACCCTCTTTCATATGTGTAAACCCAGTTTTCCTGAAAATATATCACTTACCATTAGCTTCAGTCAACTCTGTGATCTTCTCAAATTCTGGCTTAGAAAGGTAAACTCCAAAATCCTGAAGACAAGTATTCAGATCCTCATAATCCATATTTTCATCTTTAATTTTATCAATGGCTTTAATGACATCAGTCAACACTGAAAATAAAGCAGTATGCTATTAAGTATTAAATATAAGTCAAAAAGAAAACACCAATAGTAAGATGAATTTTAGTTCTAACACTAAGTTAACAAACAAGAACTTTAGAAATGTTATGTATAAAAAAAATTACCGGAATCCTTAATAATACTGAAAACCAACAAGGTACAAAATCAGAGCCAAAAATATATTTTACTTTGCTATAGTCTCTTTATTTAAGGAAGTGCCAATTTAATTGTAGTTTAAATGCATAGGAAGAAAAATATTATACAATTTCCTCATTTAATTCTCTAACAATTTAAAATTTCCTAGCAGTCTGTTTCTCACTAGCAGAAACAGAAGTAGAAAACCCTCAATCCCAAATGATGAATTGGGGTAAGGTTTTGTAGCAATACATGGCTCAGTCTTTGGTAAATTTATCTTAGTTTATCTTCTGTATATATAAATATTATTACTCAGAAATAACTATCCTACATGTCTTTTTATAATACTTTGGAATATATGCTTCACAAATTTGGGCAGTATTCCATTCATTAAACTTAAACAGAAAAATTTTTACTGCAATGAAAACTTTCTTAAAACAACTTGCAAATATATAGAATTATTAAAGGGGTTGATAGACATGCATGCATATGTGTGTGTGTGTGTGTGTGTGTGTGTAAACTTTGGAACAACTTAAACTCAAATAGACTTCCTCTAATAGAAGATTAGGATAGGTAAAGTGAGGAAGTTGGGCAGTGGAGGGCATTAAAGCCATTATCAGGAGTTAATCAACTTTAGGCAGTCGCTAGAAATCATTATGGATTGCTAAAAAAAGAAATGATCATCAAAATAATGTCTGAATTAGATGATTCTTTTTTTTTTTTTGATTTTTTTTTTCTTTTGGGAGAATTTTTTTTTAATTTTTTATTGTTATGTTAACCACCATACATTACATCATTAGTTTTTGATGTAGTGTTCCATGATTCATTATTTGTGCATAACACCCAGTGCTCCACACAGAATGTGCCTTCCTTAATACCCATCACCAGGCTAACCCATCCCCCACCCCTCCCCTCTAGAACCCCCAGTCCGTTTCTCAGAGTCCATCGTCTCTCATGGTTCATCTCCCCCTCTGATTTACCCCCCTTCATTCTTCCCCTCCTGCTATCTTCTTTTTTTTTTTCTTAACATATATTGCATTATTTGTTTCAGAGGTACAGATCTGTGATTCAACAGTCCTGCACAATTCACAGCACTCACCATAGCACATACCCTCCCCAATGTCTATCACCCACCCACCCCATCTCTCCCACCCCCCCACCACTCCAGCAACCCTCAATTTGTTTCCTGAGATTAAGAATTCCTCGTATCAGTGAGGTCACATGTCTTTCTCTGATTGACTTATTTCACTCAAAATAACACCCTCCAGTTCCATCCATGTCGTTGCAAATGGCAAGATCTCATTCCTTTGGATGGCTGCTAATATTCCATTGTGTATATATACCACATCTTCTTTATCCATTCATCTGTCGATGGACATCTTGGCTCTTTCCACATTTTGGCTATTGTGGACATTGCTGCTATACACATTGGGGTGCACGTACCCCTTCGGATCCCTACATTTGTATCTTTGTGGTAAATACCCAGGAGTGCAATTGCTGGATCATAGGGTAGCTCTATTTTCAACTGTTTGAGGAACCTCCATACTGTTTTCCAGAGTGGTTGCACCAACTTGCATTCCCACCAACAGTGTAGGAGGGTTCCCCTTTCTCCACATCCCCGCCAACATCTGCCATTTCCTGACTTGTTAATTTTAGCCATTCTGACTGGTTGAATTAGATGATTCTTAAAAAGATTATTCTTATATATAAATATGTACAACAAGATACATGATCCTATCTCGTAAAAGGAATTTTTAGGTGAAAGAAATTCTCATTTAAAAGTAAACAGCTGATGAGTGACATCAGCAAGATGGTTGAGTAGGAAGTCTTGGACCCTTCTTCCCACAAACACACTAATTCAGCAGAAATTCAAAAATAAATTCCCTTTGTGAGAAACCAGAAACTAACTGAAAGGCTCTTACACCCTAGGAGAAGGCAAAACCAGACACAGTGAAGCTGGTAGGAAGATCTGGGACAAGTCCCACAAAAGCTGAAGACCCTGACCCCAGTGCAGCACCATATGATCCAGAAGAGCTCCCAGCTTCACCCAAGGAAAAGGAGCCATTGGTTCACACATCCACCAGTCCAACTTTTCCAAAAGGCCTCCCCAGAAGACTTGCTCTTGTCTTGCCAGTCTTGGAGCGCTGATGATTCTAGCACAGCCTAGTTGTTTAGATAGAATAAAGGTGGTGGCTTGGGCTGGTAGATGCCAGTGATTCTCCCCTCTGCTGAGCAGAGTAGATTAAAAATCCCAGCTCTTAGTTTCCCCCTGGAGAGGGAAAGAGATTATCCATGCATCCAGCACCGCAGCTTTTCAAGAACAAGCATGTGTCTTGTCAGTCCTGGAGCCTGGAGAAGAAAAAAGTCCATAGAGGCCCAGAGAATATCTGGCTGGACTCACTGGCGAGGGTCTTCTCCTGTACAAGGCCAGTATGTGAAGACTGAGAAAGCAGCGTGCTTTGTCTATTGCACAGACACCAACACACAAAGTCCAAATGGAAATTTCATAACTAAAAAATACAATAACTGAAATAAAAAGCTCAGTGGATCAACTCAAGAGCTGAAGGGAGGAAAGAAAGGAAAGAATCAATGAACTGAAAGACAGCAATGGAAATCACCCAATGAACAACACTGAGAAAACTGACCAAAAAAATGAACCATTTCAGGGACCTGTAGGAATAAAAAAACAATCTAATGGGGCACCTGGGCGGCTCAGTCAGTTAAGCATGTGACTTCGGCTCAGGTCATGATCTCAGGGTACTGGGATCAAGCCCCACATTGTCGTCGGGCTCCCTGCTCAGCCAGGAATCTGCTTATCCCTCTACCTCTGCCCCAACCCCCTGCTCATGCTCCCACTCACTCGCCCGCTGTCTCTCAAAAAAACAAAACAAAACAAAAAAACCCTTAAAAAAAAAATCTAACATTTGTGTCCCAGAAGAAGAGAAAGAGACCATGGTTAAAAAGGTACTCAAAGAAATAATGCCGGAACATTCCCAAATTTTTAGCAAGAAACACTAGCCTATAGATGCAAAAAAAAAAGTGAACCTCAAACAGGATAAATCCCAAGAAATCCATGTCAAGAAACATCATAATTAAACGTCTAAAAACTAAAGACAAGGGAAAAAACCTTGAAAGCATCCAAGGAAAAACACTGTAGGGAAAGAAAACCAGTCTGAATGACAGGATTTATATCAGAAACAGTTGAAGCTGGAATAAAGTTGCACAATATTTTTCAAGTACTGAAAGGAAGTACTGTCAACCTAAGATGACATACTCAGAAAAAATATTCAGGCGTGAAGAGGAAACCAAGATGTTCTCAGATGAAGGAAAACTAAGAGAATTTGTTGCCAGTAGACCTATGAATGGCTAATGAAAGTGAAAAAAGTGAAGAAAGTCAGGCACAAAAGACCACATGTTATATGATTTTGTTTATACTAAATGTAAAAAAAAGAAGCAAATTTATAGAGCTAGAAAGTAGATAACTGGGGCGCCTAGGTGGCTCAGTCGGTTAAGCACCTGCCTTCGGCTTCCGACGGGATCTCAGGGTCCTGGGATCGAGACTATGCACACCCCTTCCCCCCCCCCCCCCCCGTCCCGTGGGGCTCCCTACTCAGCAGGGAGTCTGCTTCTCCCGCTCCCTTTGCCCCTCCCCACTCCCGCCCCACTGATGCTTGTTCTCTGTCTCTCAAATAAATAAATAAAATCTTTAAAAAAAAAAAGTAGCTAAGTGGTTGTCTGGGGATGTAGGTAGATATTTAACTGCAAAAGGGCACGAGAGAATTTTAGGAATAACGGAAATGTTATAAAACTGGATTGTGTCCACTTCCGGTCCAATTTCCAAGTAATTGAATGCAGGAACTCAAAAGAGGTATTTGCATACCCACATTCACAGCAGCGCCAGGCACAACTGCCAAGAGGTAGAAGTAACACAACTGTCTATTAATGAATGAAAGGACAAACTAAATATGGTATACACATGCAATAGAATATTAGTTAGCATAAAAAGGGAAGGAAATTCTGACATACACTACAACACAGATGAATCTTGAGCGTATTATGATAAGTGAAATAAGCCATTCACAAAAAGACAAATACTGTATGATTCCACTCAAACATGTGTGGGCAAATTCACAGAAACACAAAGTAGAATGATGGCTGCCAGAAGCTGGAGGGGCAGGGATGGGTAGTTGTTGTTTAATGGGTACAGAATTTCAGTTTTGCAAGGTGAAAAAATTCTGGAGATCAGTGGTACAAGAGTGTGAATATATTTAACCCTAACATTATTGAATTATACACTTACAAATGGTTAAAATGTAATTTTTGTTATGTGTTAAATACCACAGTTAAAAATAAAATTTAAAAATAGTATAATGGGGGGTGACTGGGTGGCTCAGTCATTAAGCATCTGCCTTCGGCTCAGGTCACGATCCCAGGATGCTGGGATCAGTCCCACATCCGGCTCCCTGCTCTGCGGGAAGCCTGCTTCTCCCTCTCCCACTCCCCCTGCTTGTGTTCCCTCTCTCACTGTCTCTCTCTCTCTGTCAAAAAATAAATAAAATCTTTTTAAAAAAATAAATAAATAAAAATAAAAATAGTATAATGGGGAAAGGGTGGGGCGGGGGGGAGGGTAGTTAGTTGTGACCAAGACATTACTTCAAAAAACAGCAATGAAACAATGACTGAGTTGGTGAAAAAATGATTGCACGGTGAAGCATTCAAAAAATTGATTTGCTAATAGTGTCTTCAAGAAATCCAGACACTTAAGCACTTACATTCACCAGAAAGGACAAATCATAATGTAGCTTTTAACATGAGACTTTTTATCTAAGTATAAGAGAAAATCTTTTCCTTTGGATTAATTTTTCCTTATCTGAGAAATCTTTTGGGAAGAGACAAAAAGCTTATCTTTCTTCTTTAGCATATGAATAAATAAAAGGAAATAAAAACAGCAAGCCTTGTTATCTTCCATTTCTTTTAATCTTGCTGAAAAATATTTAATTATTTGTATAAAAAATAAAATCATTGCAAGCAAAAATTTTAAAAACTTGTTTGTGGTAATGGTTGTAGGACTCTGTAAATTTCATAAAAATTGCATGGGTGAATGACCAAGTGGGATTTATCCCTGGGCTGCAAGGTCGGTTCAACATCCGCAAATCAATCAACGTGATACAATACATTAACAAAA